AGTTGATTAGAAAAAACAATTTTTTTGATATTTTTGATATTTAATTATTATCTAGATAAAATCCTAAAATCTTATTAGGTTACGGTATGATTCTCCAAAAGTTAGTTCTACCACATCTCAACAGACTATTTCATCTACAGCCTATGTTCTCAACAAGACATATTTTCAGACATTACCTTTTTAATTAAAGAATTTTTTTCTTAAAAAAAAAAAAAAAAGCCGTGCGTCTGCGTCACGGATTACCAATCCGTGATATGAAAACCAATTATATAATTTTATATGGTCTAATTTAGTCAAAAAATTGATTAAAATTTTAACTCTTATCTAACTTTTGTTGTAGTGATTAAAAAAATTACAAAAAAAAAAATCACTGATCAGTATTTATTAAATATTATTTACTATAGAAGTTTCAAGATTATAGCTTTTTTATTTAAAAAGTTACAGGGGGGGAGAGGGATACTTTTGACTCCTACTGTAATTCTGGAAAGATGCATTTACGATATTTTCTGCAGTCTTTTATCCTTTTTATATAAACCACGTTTCAAAATATTAAAGTTTCGTTTCTTTATACGATCCCATCCATTATTTTGGAAATATCTAAAATCCTGATTCGTTAATTTAATTTTAAGATGTAAATGCTCGACATTTCTCGAATCACCATGATTTAATGTCATTCCAAGAAATCTTATATTTCCCCATGGTGCTTCAGAAGCTCTCATCTCTTCGTCAATTACTTGCGTTGCGAGGTGAAATATTGAAAATAATTCTTCATCAGTACACTCTGATAGCCTTTCAACATGCCGAACAGGTGTTATAATAAACATTGACCTTGCTTTTGCATCAAGCCAAATATTGCAAAGTTTTTTAGTATCATCACTTGTGGTCGATGGAAAATTAATTCTTGAAACTTTATTTGTTTCGGATTCGGAATCGCAAGAAATACAATTTAAGGTTTTTACCGGTGGATATCTCCCACTCTTTGTATGAGAAACCTCTACCGAAAATCCTCCGCTATCATCTTGGCTAATGAAAAATTTAAAATGTTTCCAGCCTTTCTCCATTTCTATTTCTGTTAATATTTTTCGAAAAAAGCCTACGGATCGATTGAAAATTGCATTATTATCTTGAGAAGGTGTATAATTAACACCTCCGAGAAAATCAACTAGCTGACATGAAGATTCTGGAAAAAAACTAAATTTTAGTTGCTCTTGCTTAATATTAAGCATTATTCACCGGTTTCAGGAGGATTCAAGTTCTATTAGTTATTGGCTCAAAATATGCAACCTACCGATCTGATCTACTTTTAGAAATACCATAATACGTAGGACAAAACTAATATGAAACTGACAAACTTTTATCGTTATTTAGAAAGGTTATGTAAAATAAATTTCTACAACTTAAATATTGACCAAAATTTCGCTAAAATGTGATTTTTTTATAAAACATTTCAGTCTGCTGTGAAAGCTCGTAAGCTACCTTTATGTCACGTATAATCTGCAAATAATTCAGCAGAATCTTGAACACTTATTTATCGGATAAATTAATATTGCTATATAATAGCAGTTCTACCCGGATTATCGCGTAGAGTATCCAGGATTCTGCGGTCGCTGAATCTGCGCAGAACTGCCTTGGTGTAGTTCTGCGTACTCAGCAAAAAGCAGAATGCTGTTATTTTGTTATTGTTATTCTAAACTTATGGAATACCCTGGATACCGATAGTTTTTTTTTTTTTTTTTAACATCTGCAACTGAAGATGAAACTGAACCACCGCGTTAATTTTAGCATCAATCAGATTCAGGCCTACCGAAAAATTAATTGCAATTAATTTTTGTCATATGTCATACAATTAAAATTATCATAAAATTAATCGAAACCCAATTAATGACAATTAAATCAATTTTCTTTCATTATATCGTTGCATTACTCAAGTTTGATTGATGCATATAATCTTGGCGAATATATGATACGTAGTCTAATTACATAAAAATTGCAATTAATTGAGTTCGAAAAATTGCAATTAATTGCCCATACAATCAATTATTCGGTAGGCCTGATCAGATTTTATTTAATCACAAAATATTGGGTTTCCCGACACCTACTGAAACACCTAGCTAGCACTAATTCTAAATCGGGCTAACCTTAGCTTTAAGAGTGCCACCACATTTTATTTAATTAATCATATAATAAAGTAAATCAGAAAAGTGTTGACTACAATCACTCATAAGTGATAATCAATTATAAATTTTCGCTTTCGATAATTCTATATAAATCAACTTCAATTTTCATCACTGCTTCTTGTACAACGTACATTGTAGTATTAACCATCTTCGATGCAAAAACTAATATCCTTTCATAATCTTCATGAAAATCACCAACTAACTCTACACTTTTTTTAAATAAAGTTGATTCTGATCGATTTTGAAGATACGCGGTATATTCTTCTCCAAATGTAAGATTCGGCCCATCGTTATCACGATATTTCCTAAATAAAAATGTCGAATATCTATTACGTAAATCCTTCAAAGGATCTTCTGAAAATGAATGAATTTTTGAAGATTTTTGTTTGTCCGGAACTTCAACACAAAAATTCAACTCTTGTATTTCCTCTTCAATGGGTTCAATAAAATCATCGATCCCATTTTTGAAATTTTCTATAATTTTTTCATTACGTTTTTTCTCCTTTTGCATCATGTAAAACCCTTGTATTGTAAAAGTTTGTAGAGTAGGATAAGTTGCTTTTTCAAGAATTTTTAATTTATTTTCGCGTACTTGATCTTCAATTACTGGTACGACCATCTCAGAAAGCTCGTGAAATGGCTTAGATAATCGTTCCATTTCTTAGTAGTATTTATTAAAAAATTATGTAAATAAAAAAGTCTTAAAAGAAAATAGGCAAAAAAAGGTTCAAATTACCTTCAATCTTTTTCTCTCGGTACCTGTGGATATAACTATGAGTATTCTCAGATTTTTGTGGCCATCGTTCTCTTCCAATCAATGTATCAGAACAATACTTTATATATTTATCTGGATTGCTATCGATCCATTCTTTCAAATCACTTCGGAAATAATTAAATAATTAGGATGAGGTAATTATCCAATAATATAAGGAATGATATGATTTATTAAGGAAATAATAACTCAAACCTAAAGTCTGAAGGAATTTCTTTTGAAAAATTTTTTTCTTGTCTTTCACTCAATTTTTTTATCCAATCTTCAAATTTAGGAAAGTATTGAAATAATTCATCTTTATCACTCGGTACCCTATTGATGAATTGATTGATTTTATAATTTTCATTAAAACAGCAAAGAGATATCAACAAATTATGATACCTTGTCCGTCCATCCAATCCATATATCATTTTAATTACCACGATTATTACAGCTAATAATGCAATATAAGGTTCTAAATTTCGATTTAATTCAAGTTTCAAATTGATTAATTGCGCCAATTCTTTGGAGATAACATATGACTCGACTAAATAAGTAAAAATTAAAATTCAAAAATATTATTTTAACAGCTGAATTAATGTTTGATAAAAGTAAATTACCTGGTAACATAAAATCTCTAATAAATCGATAAAGTATAGGTGGTGCATTAATCTCGGGAAAAGTTATTCCATAAAAATTTTTATAAAATGCGATAAAATCTGTTTCTAAATTGATTAAGTGATTATATGATTGTATTCGCTATAAAATAAATATTTTAATGTTTGTTAAAACCGATTTTTAATAAATAAAATCTTTAAAAATTTGATAAAAAACCTCTTTTTCAAAAAATTTTTTAACAAAGTGAGAACCCAGGTGTAATTTCATATCATTAGGTAATTCTTGACGAATTATCAGATATGATAAACGACCAGTAGAAGCCCAACTAAACAAGTAAAAAAAGTAGCAGTTATAATCATTATAAAGATTTTGGAATGTGAAAGTTTTATTATAAAGCTTACCGGATAATGTCACCATTTATTATAGGAATTCTTAACCAAACACATCCAAGATATATTATAGCTAACACGTAGCTTAATCTCATGCTTGATATACGACATGGTAAAGCATGATGGTTTGCAAAGGTTTTGGCTGTAGATTTGAAGTCATAAAATTCATTAGCACCACTCCTTTGTTGATCGTCATTTTCACTGTCAGAATCAGAATCTTGTGGAACATCGATCAAGAATTCCAAAGAATCTTCATTATCGTCTTGAAATGTTGATGAGTATCCCTCAGAAACGTCATGATTAGTACTCGTTGGATCAAGATCCATTTCAGATATTTTATTAACATAGAGAATCCATAGATGTTGAACTACTTGCTGGGTTTAAAACAACCTTTAAACCTTTAAACGGTGTCACGTGTATGTACCATGATACTCGAAGAATGAAGAAGACAAACCTCGATTTGTGGTACAAAACCCATCTCATGTATTAGAACATGTAATTGTCTTCTTAGTACCCATTGAATAACACTTAAAAGTACTCGAGTATACTCGGTACGGTTTTGATATGCATAATGTTCATCTTAAATTGATAATTTAAAATTTCAATTAAATCACTTTTTTTCTTTAATAAAATTATTTCCATTTCGTACTTGTTGCCTTTCCAGTGCGAGAACGTCGCCTTTTTCCTGTAACTGGGGTAGGTTCTATCTCATTCTCTTGCTCTTGAAATCCCTTTTTTAAAAAATAAATCACAGTTCTACTTGAACAATTTGTAAAAAAAAAAAAAAAAATATATATATATATATGCTATATATCCTGCAATACCTCTCTTTGATGTCCAAATTGACAAACCAACCCTCCTAACCCGTCACTATGCCATTTTCGACTTTTACAAATAGGACAAGCTCGCATTTTGCGTTTGATTTTTATCGTGTTTCTATATCAGTTATATAATTTGTATCAGTATTTCTATATTTAATAAATAATGGATATGTACCGGTAATACAAAGGAAAGTATCATATACGATTGGACAGGCCTAATTCAAATTACTATATATCGATATCGATATAATAAAATTTTTCCAGTTAAATTACAATAACAGTAATATATACTCCCAATACACATAATTTATTTAACCTTTATTAATATAACTATACAAATTTTTTTAAATATATAAATAGTGCTCTAATAAAGTTTTTACTAACAGCTCTTTTAACCCTATTCATACTGTACAAATAAATAATAACTCATTTTTAAACTCAAATTAAAATTTACAAAACGCAAAAAAAAACTGATAAAAAGGTTTACAATTAAAAAAAAAAGTGACCGAAATGTCTTTTTTTCATTCAAAAAAAATACGGTACCTTTTTTTTTTTCTAATACAATAAAGAGACCTAAATTTAAACATGAGGCAAAATGACAATTCTTTTTTATATTAATAAAAAAAAAAAAAAGAAATGCGGACTAATAATGATACTTGTACAAAAAAAATGCAAAGAGCTCGGACTAATAATAGTACTTGTACAAAAAAAAAATGCGAATTGAACCAAGAAGTACTCGTAAAAAAAAAAAAAAAAAAAAAAAAATAGAGAGAGAGAGAGAAAGAAAATTATTACTATCCAAAATTTAAATGCGTATTTTTTTAATTGTTTTTTTAAAAAAAAAATAATTTTTTTTAGATGATTTTTCATTTGAACAAAAACCAAAAAATATATCAATAAAAAAATTTTGAACAAAAAGAAGATAATGGATTAAAAAACTATATAAATAATAACAAAAAAAAAAAAAAGTGTATAAATAAATATGATATGATTTCTTTAAAAAAAATATATCTGTCGTAAAGAACTAACCCAATCAGCCTAATCATAAATATATATTCTTAAATCTAATTACCTCTTTTGTCCAACCTAATCATTCATAAAAAAAAAATAAAATTCGTAACCAATGTTTTTTTTTTTTTTGGATTTTTTTTTTTTTTTTTTTTTTTTCCCTTAATATTACTTTCTGATTTTTGATGATTTTGTTGCAGATTTTTTTAGTTTATCTTTATCTTTACTACTACTACTACCACCATTTGATGTTGTAACTTTACTTTTGCTAAGAGTTTTAGAAACCAAAGATGATTTTGAACCAATTTCAGTGGTCTTTTTCGATGCATGTTTCTTACCACCAGAAGTAGAACTTTCTGCCGTAGAAGTATTGGGTCTAACGTTCGACTTTCTACGATTCTTTGGACATCCATTAGTATTTAATAAATGTGATTTCCAACCTTCTTCGGTTGCTGGTTTAATTACTGTTTTACAAAGAGGGCAACGAACGATATCATCTCTTATAGCCAAACAAGTTTGTTTGTTAACATGTGCTAAATAATCATCAGCATCAACAACTTCACGACAGGTAGGACATTGTTTAACAAATTTGGCTTTATCACAATCGGTTAACATGTGATCATCGAGTGTAGAAATTTCAAGGATCTATTAAATAATAATTTATTTTAAGATTAAAATTATATAGAATTTATAGAAATATAAGTAAAAAAAAAATCACTTACTATATTACATAATCTACATTTTGTCAATACTGGACATTCTGTCCAATAATGAGTCACCAAATTTTCTTCAGTGAAATTTTCGTTATGCTCGTCACAAAAGATGCAGCATCTATTAATTTAAATTAATAAAATAAATAAAAAAAATAATAATAATACTAATAATAAAATTCATTAATTAATTTTATAAACAATTTTTTACCTGTCACCTTTTGATGCTTCACATTCATCAGGTTCTTCACATAAAGTTGTATCAGTAGGTTTAGAACCTTTCCTTGAAATCCTTTTAATTTCTTCAGCTGAATCACGTCGATCTTTTAAAACAGGTTTAGAAGTAAGAGAACCTTTTAAAGGTTGTTTTTTTGGTGGTACAGTATCAGTCTTTGATTTCTTTGAATTTTGTTTTCCGGGGGTAGGGGTTGGTTTTGATCCAATTCTCGTAGAACTCTTTTTAGATGTCTTTTCAACTTTTGAAGGTAATACACAACTATCAGGAACATTATTAGAATTTTTAAGTAATAACTCTTCTGCTTCTAATTCTTCTAATTCCTTTAATTCTTGTTCAGTTAATTCTTCAGGTTCTTCAATAACTTTAGCTGCATTTGCTGCGATAACAGTACTATAATCATCTTTTAAAAAACTATTTGTAGTATTAAACATTGATTTTAATTCCATCACTTGTTGTTCTAATCTTGTAACAGTTCCACGTTGAGCTAAAGGAGTTCTTATTAATTCTTCATTAACTTCAAGATCTTTTATATCAGGTTTTATTTTTGGTGATGGAGGAGGAGAAGGAATTTGACCTGCTATTTTTCCTGTAGTTTCTTCATATTCATTTACCAAATTCCAAATATTTTCCGAAAGTATAGGTTTTATATCGATAATAAAATCTTTAACTTTTTCTCGACCAACAAGTTTAATAACTTCAACTACTAATTTTACAGCTGAATCACGTACTTCTCCATTATTATTATTCAAGTAAGATACAGAAACTTGCATGACAGACTATTATTAAAAATGTAATATTATAAAATGTTAAATATATATATATATATATATATATATGATAGTTGTTTTAAAATAAATATGTCTAATATATTTTATAAAAAAAAAATAACATACCTCAAGATTTAATTTAAGTACTTTATCAATACCAAATTCTTCAACTAATCGAGTTACAAGTTCTACTTTAGCTTTTGATTGTTTTGGTGGTTGAGAATTAGATTTTGCAGGTTTAAGAACTAATGAAACTGCTGAATGAACTGAAGTATTATATGTCTTTGCTAATAAAATAAATAAATTTATTGCATTCTGTTTTATACGTGAATTTGAATCAGATATTTTTCCAAATAATAATGGATAAGTTTTATCAACCAACTTCCAAGTAGATGATGTTGGTATTTGATGATGAACAGTAAAATTTGTAATTGTTTCCCAAAGTGTTAATGCTTGTAATGTTAATTTCTCAGGATTATCTTCCAAAGCTTCTTTTATAATCTGAAAAGTAGCTTTTATTAATCCGACCTGAAAAAAAAAAAAAAAAAAATACACATTTTCAATTAGTTAAATAATGATTTGATATGATAGTTTCAATTCGTTAATATGATTTTAATTGATGATTTAATGATATATAACTTACTTTATCAATTCCTTCAACATCTTTACCATCAAGATCTACATCAACTCTCTTTGTAACATTAGATAAAGCAGATTCACGTAAGGGGAACTTTTTTGATAGAAGACATGCAACATCATATTCTCCGAAATATTGTATTGATAAATCAAATGCAGTACGTGCTAAATCAGAAAGATTTTCTGGATGTTCTTCATTAGAATCATTCATAGGTAATGTAGGTATAATATAATCATAGTTATCTTTAATATTAGTTAAAGCAGGTAAAGGACGATCTTCAACCGAATTATCCCATTGAATAGATTCTATTGGAGTAGTAGGAGACATAGGTTCAGGATGATGAGGTATGTTATTTTTTTTTTATAAAATATATTAGACATATT